CTTGCAGTCCATGGGACTCTCAAGAGTCTCCTCCAGCACCATAATTCAAAAGCATCAATTCTTTGGCGATCAGCCTTCTTTATGGTCCAGCTCTCGCTTCCATACATCACTACTGGGAAAACCATAGCTTTAACTATACAGATATTAAATGTTACTGAATGGGCCTGTCCTGACAATGTTCAGCCTTTTTAGTCTGGCCTACTGGATTGAACCCCCCTCCCCAGCCCTGCTTTGTATCCTGGGTGTTTTTTCCTGCCTGGGATGTGTCTCTTACATCACCTCTTGACGATCGCTCTGTTGCTAGAGCATGAGATGCAAGTGTGGCCAGGATCCTGAGTTGCACAGACTTGACTTCAGATTAGGAGTGGGGAGAAATCCAAAGAAGTTTGCCTTTATAGGCAGACCTACTAATTCGAACTTTCTGAAACAGTGTACAAACCGAAACACGCCCATGCCTCAAAATTCACACTTCTCTGAATTTTGCATTGTAATGTGTACACAAATGCATCTTTTTGAATATAGTGTGTACAACATGCTTATATTAATGAAAGTGGCATGCAAAAATGCTTTCTATAAGAGGGAATTGTTTGTAGAAAAATGTGTGTATTGGGCGAAATTGTATTACAGGGAGAAATTTGCACTAAAACGCTGCTGAATTTTCACGGGGACTTGTTTCCCCCAGTAAACTGATGTGTAAACCCGGGAACATAAGGAAAACCTGCTGAATCAGGCCATTCAGCCTTCTAGGCCGGCATCCTGCTCTCACAATAGCCAGCCAGATGCCTGTGGGGAGCCAGCAGGCAGGACCTGAGCACAAGGAGCCAGTGTGGTGTAGTGGTTAAGAGCGGTGGACTCGTAATCCTGGGAACCGGGTTCGATTCCCCGCTCCTCCACATGCAGCTGCTAGGTGACCTTGGGCTAGTCACACTTCTCTGAAGTCTCTCAGCCTCACTCACCTCACAGAGTGTTTGTTGTGGGGCAGGAAGGGAAAGGAGATTGTTAGCTGCTTTGAGACTCCTTAGGGTAGTGATAAAGCGGGATATCAAATCCAAACTCTTCCAAACAAGACCAGTCGCCCTTCCTGCGGCTTCCAGGAAATGTGAAGAAGTGAACTAAAGAGCAGAAAAACAAGATGAATTTTAACAGGGAGAAATGTAAAGTATTGCACTTGGGCAAAAAAAAAGAGAGGCACAAATACAAGATGGGTGACACCTGGCTTGAGAGCAGTACATGTGAAAAGGATCTAGGAGTCTTGGTTGACCACAAACTTGACATGAGCCAACAGTGTGACGTGGCAGCTAAAAAAGCCAATGCAATTCTGGGCTGCATCAATAGGAGTATAGCATCTAGATCAAGGGAAGTAATAGTGCCACTGTATTCTGCTCTGGTCAGACCTCACCTGGAGTACTGTGTCCCGTTCTGGGCACCACAGTTCAAGAAGGACACTGACAAACTGGAACGTGTCCAGAGGAGGGCAACCAAAATGGTCAAAGGCCTGGAAACGATGCCTTATGAGGAACAGCTAAGGGAGCTGGGCATGTATAGCCTGGAGAAGAGGAAGTTAAGGGGTGATATGATAGCCATGTTCAAATATATAAAAGGATGTCACATAGAGGAGGGAGAAAGGTTGTTTTCTGCTGCTCCAGAGAAGCGGACACGGAGCAATGGATCCAAACTACAAGAAAGAAGATTCCACCTAAACATTAGGAAGAACTTCCTGACAGTAAGAGCTGTTCGACAGTGGAATTTGCTGCCAAGGAGTGTGGTGGAGTCTCCTTCTTTGGAAGTCTTTAAGCAGAGGCTTGACAACCATATGTCAGGAGTGCTCTGATGGTGTTTCCTGCTTGGCAGGTGGTTGGACTCGATGGCCCTTGTGGTCTCTTCCAACTCTATGATTCTATGATTCTAAGAAACTGGAAATGGACAGATTCACCCACTCCTCCTTCAGATGCTTCTCCCTACCTCCTTATGAGGTTCTCTTCCATTTTTTTTAAAGCTCTGTGCACGCATTGTGAAAGGCTTTTAGTGACTCAGATGACAAGCTCAAAGGATGACGCCAACTGACGGATTGTTGCCCCAAGGTCATCTCCTGCCATTTTCTATCGTTCTTTTCAACCAATATATTATTTAGACACCCATCACAGTTCTTACTTGTTCCTATATGAAACTCAATGTAAAATGCCTTCCTTCAGGTGCTCATCAAAATTCTCAACCCATTAAGGTGGAAGGACTGTAACTTGTCTGTCAGCGGCATTCTAGCTCTTCCAGTCACACTGCAATTGCATTCAGCTGGTTAAATGCTCTGAGGAATGACTTTTCCTTAAGAGAACTTGAAGGGGGACAGAGTGTTCTCTAGTGAAATGGGCAGTTGATTCGTGATGCCCCCAAAGGGAGTATTTCCCCCTTCCCCACACAAGATGCATAATTAATTTATAGAAAAACAAAAGAAGCATCGTCGATCAATGCAAATGTCCATGTGCTGCTCTTCAACTAGATCTACTATCTCCTGCGCATTCACATGGGCAAATGATTTGGAGTGCTTCAATATCTTCCTTTGAGGTGACTCCAGTTGTGTTTTCCTTGAAGCTCCATTGTACATAACCAGAATTTGCCTACCGGCAGTGCCAGATTTACATGTAAGCTAAACAAGCTATAGGGATGCGGGTGGCGCTGTGGGTTAAACCACAGAGCCTAGGATTTGCCAATCAGAAGGTCAGCGGTTCGAATCCCCACGACTGGGTGAGCTCCTGTTGTTCGGTCCCTGCTCCTGCCAACCTAGCAGTTCGAAAGCACGTCAAAGTGTGAGTAGATAAATAGGTACCGCTCTGGCAGAAAGGTAAACGGCATTTCCGTGCACTGCTCTGGTTCTCCAAAAGCTGCTTAGTCATGCTGGCCACATGACCCGGAAGCTGTACACCGGCTCCCTTGGCCAATAAAGCGAGATGAGCGCCGCAGCCCCAGAGTCGGTCACGACTGGACCTAACGGTCAGGATTTACCTTTACCTAAACAAGCTATAGCTTAGGTCCCCACTCTCTTGGGGGGCCCCCAAAAAATTAAAGGAAAAAAAACCTGGATGTAGATTTCCAATATATAAGATAAAAAACAAATAAAATGAAACCTACATACAGCTTCAGTGTTTTGTGTTGTGTAGGCTCCTATGATGTAAGTAATGGGCTCCACCTGCTATAAAAAGGGCCCCGTTACCTTCAGTAGCTTAGCGCCTCATCAAACCTAAATCCAGCCCTTGAAACTGAAGCCTCTTGTGTTCCTAAATGCTTAGCATTGGAGCATCCTTAGAGCTCTTTCCACCCAACCTTCATCAGAGCGACCTTAGGAGCCAATCCAATGAGAGCCAGTGTGGTGTAGTGGTTAAGAGCGGTAGTCTTGTAATCTGGGGAACCGGGTTCGCGTCCCCGCTCCTCCACATGCAGCTGCTGGGTGACCTTGGGCCAGTCACACTTCTCTGAAGTCTCTCAGCCCCACTCACCTCACAGAGTGTTTGTTGTGGGGGAGGAAGGGAAAGGAGAATGTTAGCCGCTTTGAGACTCCTTAAAGGGAGTGAAAGGCGGGATATCAAATCCAAACTACTCTTCTTCTTCTTCTTCTTCTTCTTCTTCTTCTTCTTCTTCAATCTTCAGTGGCCAACACCCTTCCCTTCATTCTGATTTGCTCTGTTTAGCACAAAGGGTGAGAGTACTTCTCCTCATTGGCTAGAAAGCTTCCCTTTCATGCTGATTGGGCAGCTCTAGGATGCTGGAGACAGGAACCTTGCTGCAGAAATAGTAGGAAGTTTTTAACTCTTGCAGCCCCTGACTACTACACTCCTGCTTACTACTATCAGAAGCCATTCTTGGTCTGATCCTGTTCAGCTCTTCATGTGTGCACTCATATGACTCCAGTCATTGGCTGTGGCCTCCATGTGATTCCTCACAGCAGACAGCTACTCCAAACAGCTTTGCTTGTTAAACACAAAAACATAGATAGATGCACACTGTAAATTAAAAGCAAGGGAGCGAAGCAAAGGCCTGCAGAATATTCAGTGAAGACGAATGGCTTCGTATACTTCCTGTGTGCATCAAGGTGTTTGGTATTCATGCCGTTCTGTTGAGATGCTATTTTTACCTCTCTTGTATTTTGGACCAAAGGGATTCTTTTCTTCGGCTCAGAACGGATGGATAATGAAATGCCTCCTGGCAAATAGTCCTCAGGGGGCTCTGTGCTCTGTATCTGAATACGTCAGGAAAGAAAGTGGGAAATCATTTAGGAGCAAACGCAGCCAATGAAGCAAAAACAAAGCAAAACAACCCAGAGCAACAACCAAGAAACCAAATTATAAGAGAGACAGTAACAGTTCAAGGTTGGGACTGCAGAGGCCCAGGTTCAAATCTCTGTCCAGCCTTGAAGCTCACAGGGTTGATCTTGGGCCAGTCACTATCTCTCAGCCTAACCTACCTCATAGGGTTGTTGTGAAGCTCTTCTTCCCTGGGACAAACCCTAAGAAGAGAAGAGGAGAATGCTGTGTGGCTCTTTGGGGCAAAGCTTAGCACATTACTGAACATAAACTTAGAATCATAAAGTTGGAAGGGACTACAAGAGTTATCAGGGACGCGGGTGGTGCTGTGGGTTAAACCACAGAGCCTAGGACTTGCCGATCAGAAGGTCGGCGGTTCGAATCCCTGCGATGGGGTGAGCTCGCATTGCTCGGTCCCTGCTCCTGCCTACCTAGCAGTTCGAAAGCATGTCAAAGTGCAAGTAGATAAATAGGAATTGCTTCAGCGGGAAGGTAAATGGTGTTTCTGTGTGCTGCTCTGGTTCACCAGAAGCGGCTTAGTCATGCTGGCCACATGACCTGGAAGCCTTACGCCGGCTCCCTTGGCCAATAAAGCGAGATGAGCGCCGCAACCCCAGAGTCGGTCACGACTGGACCTAATGGTCAGGGGTCCCTTTACCTTTTTACAAGGGTTATCTAGTCCAGCCCCCTGCCATGCAGGAATCTTTTTGCCTAACGTGAGGCTTGAACTCGTTACCCTGAAATTAAGAGTCTCATGCTCTACCAACTGAGCTATTCCAGAATTTGGCACCTCTCCAAGTGAGCAGGGCAGGGCTTTCCCATCCAGGAGGCAGGCGGTGGCAGAATCCAAGAGGCACTAATGTGAGTGTACACACACACACACACACACACACACTGCTGCCAGCAGAGCTTTTCATGTGGATTGCAAGTTGTGCAGGCCAATCTGCTCAACTCCTGTTGGCCCGTAAACCTTGGATCTATTAGTGTCCGGTGTGCTTTGGTGCAAAATAAGAAATCTTGGAAGGCAATCTGATCCATTTTAAATCCAGCCACCGCCTGTTCAACTTCGAATCGATTCCACTTAATGTAGGAGATATGGAAAGCCCCACTCAGAGAGATACTTCTACAGCCCCTTGAATCAATTTCCTCCTGTGTCACTAGAGTGGAAGCCAAGTGGGGACCTGAATGTCGAAAAATTGAATGGTAATCACAGCAGATGGGATTTAAAATGAGAAAGCTGAGAGAATCAAGAACTCAGAACTGAGTGGAGAAGCAGCAGGAGGATTTAAAAAGGAAGCAATAATGCTCAATAATGCACAGTCCAGCCAAAGATGAGGATGTCTAAGTCTTATTGATTTCAGTGGGAAAGATGTGCTCAATTTGGCTGAATCAAAGAATCACAGAGTTGGAAAGGACCACAAAGATAATCTAGTCCAAATCCTTGCAAGATAGGAATATTTTGCCCACTGTGGGGCTAGAACCATGACCCTGATATTAAGAATCACATGCTCTACTGACTGAGCCACGCCCTTAGTTTTTATATATTGTGCTCCTCAAGTGCTCTAAGGTACTTTTCACACATTATTTGTTTGTTATTTGTTATTATTTGGTTTGTTTTGGTTTTTGTTATGGGGGTTATTGTTTTGTTTTTGTTCTAACTATTTGTGCTTTTATCCTGTATTTTTATCTTGTGGACTGCCCTGAGATCTTTGGGTGAAGGATGGTATATACATTTTAGCAATAATAAATAACATGTATTTTGTGTTTTTTGTCTTGTGCTTTTATCTTGTGAAGCACCCTGAGATCCACAGATGAAGGGCAGTATACAAATTTAACAAAATAAATAAATAATCTCAGTAATTCTTGCAACACTCCTGCAGTGTAGACTTTGATTATCCTTCTATTACATATCGTGTGTGTGTGTGTGTGTGTGTGTGTGTGTGTGTGTGTGTGTAGGGATAAAGCTGAAAGACAATGATTTACCTAAAGCTACCCAATGAGTTTATAGCAGTGCTAAAAATTTGCAAGGGGGTTTCCACATCGCTGATCATGTTTCAGTCATTACACTGCAGTAGCTTTTACAAGTTCCCAGAAGAGTGGAATCACGAACAATTACAAACTGGAAAGTTAAATATGTAATAGCTGCATACGTTCCTGCTGGTGTGATAGCCCTGTGGCTAGATATGGTGATGTACAATAAGAAATTAAGAAATTGGAATGGGTTGACATTTTGGCACGACGAGTGGATCTGAAAAATGCTTTGATGCATGCTCAGATGTTTACATGCCATGTCCTGGGGAATCTATAACTGAGCCAAGGTGTAGTGAGTCATAATTCTCAGACATGGTGGGTCATTACAAGCACAAATGCACCATGCCAAATATCATCTCTCAGCGTTAGAGATGACACACTCTGGCCATTGTGTTGTTGTTTTCTAATGGTGGTTTGAATTCACCCTATTCTGTCGGTATAAATGGCTGCAGAATAGATTATCAACACTTTGTCTTTATAACCTCAAAAGAGGGGGAACTTGGCCACTAGAGAGGGTGGTCAGCACAGTGAGTGAGAGCGCTCTGAACGCCCCATCATGTGCTAAGAAATATTGTGAGTCATTGCATCTTGTTCATGCCAGTGGAGGAGCAAAGTGGAAGCAAATGGGCAGCATGCACAAGCAAATTGCTTGCTCATGATAAACCACAGTAATAATAATTTATTAGATTGTTCTCCCACCCTTTCCCCCACAAAGTAACATATAGAACAACAAACCAGTAAAAACAAAATAGACCTTTTTTAAAAAATGCAAAACCAAAGCATCCTTACAGCTAGCAGTTTCACTGTTGCCAAAGCACAGCATATTTCATTTTCTAGATGCCTGGATGAACAGGAATGTTTTAAAACCCCACCTAAACACTAATAAGTATGCGGGTGGCGCTGTGCAAGTAGATTAATAGGTACTGCGGCAGCGGGAAGGTAAACGGCGTTTCCGTGCGCTGCTCTGGTTCGCCAGAAGCGGCTTAGTCATGCTGGCCACATGACCTGGAAGCTGTACGCCGGCTCCCTTGGCCAATAAAGCGAGATGAGCGCCACAACCCCAGAGTCGGTCACGACTGGACCTAATGGTCAGGGGTCCCTTTACCTTTACCTATTCCCATAAAAACAATTTTACTTCCTAGCAACTGGTTTTGCATGCCAGTTCTCGAAGTTACACCCAAATTTTCACATTTGATGTTATTGTTTGGTGTGCTTGAGAGAATTATCGCTTTGCATTGCAATGGCTGAATCTGCAGAGAAAATGTCCTGCTGATGTACTTTCCCGTGGAATGAATAACGCTGAGTCCCTTCCCTGAAAAACTGGCCTTCGAAAGCCCATCCTCTTAAATTAAGAGTTTCTATTTTCATCACCCGCTCTCACAGTCCACATTTCTTTGAATAAATTATGTTATATAATGAATATATAATAAGTACCATTAACACTAATTGCTTTGGCTTACGTCAGAAAGCTAAGAAGTTTCAGCTGACATGCAATACTTAAACCATAACGCTGACAAAGGGCTGCAAAATTCTGCTAATGAATAAGGATGCTGAACTCTCTACAAAATGCATGCTGCCGTTAAGAATGCTATTCTCATTCTGTCTTTCTCTGGCAAGGGACGGATACCTGCTGTATTCATGTCCTGCCAGGTGAGAGACATCTGCCTTAAGAGACTACACCTTTTTGTGTTAACCTTGATATTACCCTATATGAACTGTCACCCTGTCGACTGAATTATCAGTGGACCATTTTCAGGCAAGGGAGGAATAAGGAGGACAGATCTTCCACTCAGGGGCATAGTTTGGGGAGGGCCAGGGGGCCATAGCCCCAGGTGCATGATCTTGAGGGGACATGAGCCAGGCTCCTCCCCAATAGGGATCCCTGCCCTGCTTGCCACCACGGGTCTCTGGGTCCTGGAGCCTGGCCTGGCCTGGTCCTGCTGCTGCACTCTGGCCCCCTTGCTGAATGCCTGCCCAGCCAGCATTGCAGGGATGTTCCCACCAAAGGCCACGTCAGCCAGCCAGGCTCCCCTCTGCGCAGGCAGGCAGGTGGCACAGTGCGGCCCTGTGAACCCTCCTACCCGGCAATGGCAGTGAGGGTTGGACTGGCGTAACAGGTTTTGTTTAACCTCTGTGCTCAGCCCCTGGTCCTGCCTGGGGTGCGTATGCATGCCCCGGGCAACAACAAAGGTCGCAACACCACTGCCTCTGTTCAAAATAGCCTATTGCTAAGTCTTCCCTCTACTTCTCTCTTCCTGTGTGTGATAGCTAGAGAAAATGTCTCTTCTTCACCTCCCCTGCCCTTTGTCTTGCAGAGTGGAGAAACACCTGAGGAAATGAAAAAGGGCCATCAAATTGTATGGCTTTAAAAGAGGGTTATTGATGGAGAATAAAGCTATCCGTGGCTACAAGCTATGATAGCTATGTTTTACTTCTACTGTTAGATGCAGCATGTCTTTGAATAGCAGCCGCTGGAACTCGCATGCTGGGAAAGTGCTTTTCCATTCAGGTCCTGCTTGCAAGCTTCCCCTAAGCATCTGGTTGGCCAATGTAAGAAGAAGATGCTGGGCTAAATTAGATCCAGCAGGGCTCCTCTGATGTTCTTATGGCTCTGGAGGTCATCTCTAGTGTCCAAATCAAGGGTAGTAACAGTACCACTCTATTCTGCCTTGGTCAGACCACATCTGGAATACCGTGTCCAACTCTGGGTGCCACAATTTAAGACAGAAATTGACATGCTGGAATGTGTGCAGAAGAGGGCAACCCAGATGATCAAGGGTCTGGAAACCAAGCCTTATGAGGAACAGCTGAAGGAGCTGGGTATATTTAGCCTGGAAAAGAGGAGACTGAGAGGAGATGTGATAGCCATCTTCAAATATCTCAAAGACTATCACATGGAAGATGGAACAAGCCTGTTTTCTCCTGCTCCAGAGGACTCAAACTAATGGCTTCAAGAAAGGAGATTCCAATGAAACATCCAGAAAAACTTTCTGAATTCCACAGAGGGAAGAGACAGGATGTAAAAGTAATAAATAAATAGCAGAATACTGGATCCTATAAACAGTTATACATCTATAGATATCCACAATATGCTAAAGGCCTTAGACATTTACATTATAGTCTCTGAAACTCATGAAGGAGTTTCCACAAACAGGGGCCTTCCGAACTGATGACTTCAAATGTAAAGTTATTAAAACTTTACATTATGATACTGTAATGTCACTGCAGTCATCATCCACCTTTGCAATGAATCCCCTAATGTAGCTTTTCCTCTGGTGAGATGCTCAAATTCCCAGCACCCAGATTGCAAGATTGGGGATACTGCAAACCTGATTCTTCCCTCAATCAGGAAATCCTTGGCTCTTGCCAAGGAGGGCAGCTGTGACAAATGTTGCGGGCACTTATTTGACAATGGTTACATTTGCCACTGGCCGCCCAACACCTCCTGCCTCTCATCCTCTCCCGAGTCAGTGCCAAATCTCAAGCCATGAGGTGCAATGTTAGAGGCTGCCGTGTCCAATCTCAGAGGTAGCGTCTGGTTTCACGAAGCATCTCCCACATGATCAGTGCCATCCATGATTCCAGAAGCTAAAGCCTTGGCTAGGGCTCAGCTGCTGCTAATGCACTTCTCATTTTGCCTTTGCTGCTTCCCTCACCCCCAGCCAGATGGGAAGCACAGAAGGGTAGACTGATACAGAGGAACTGCTGAAGATCACTCCCGGCTTCCTCTTAATTACCGTGCACCACAATTACATAA